ATTTTCCCATTTTATATTAGATTCATTTGTCATTTATATAATTTTCTTCATTTACATATTTTCCCTATTATTTAACTTCTATAATTCTCAATTTTTGATTCTTCGCTTCCGCATTATTCCGCTATATTCCTAACAAAAAGTTTATTATTTGTGTACTGAATGTATATTTAATTCAATAATATATAAAAAATCATGTACTTTCAAATAATGTACTTTATGTATACTAATAATATACTTTTTATTTATGATTCACACAAATACTAAAATATAAGTGTAGTGTAGTAAGTCCGTCATAGCTAGCGTGACCAATTCAACTTTGAGCTAATATTTTGTTGGAAATTTATATAGTAATGGAAATTAATGGTTCAGATGGACTACCATGAAAGTTTAAATAATATTTAGAGTTGTAGAGTTATAAATATTATTTTAGTTTGATAGAAAGTTAATATGATGCTATTGATTTTTCAAACATATGGGCTCTAGGCAATAAAAGTACGCATATCAACTTTGATCTAATATTCTTATCCGTCATAGCTAGCGTCACCAATTAACAGTACGCATATCAGATTGATCTTGATTTAGCATGTCTATATAGGCAAATTATATTGTGCATCGCAGTCCAAAAAAGGGCGGCACGTTGTTACAATTAATGGAGTGCACATTTTTGGTGTGTTAATTACCAATTGAAAGTACAATGTATCTAAACTGACACTCTCACGTATTATTTTTATATAATCAAATGAAATTGCAATTGAATTGAAATGATGCTGTAGTTGTGTTGAATGAAAACTGCAGTGTATACAAAATGAAACTGAATAATAATTTCACATATTTGAGTGTATATTGCCCAGCGAAACTGTAGTTATATCAAAATGATACTGTAGTTGTGTTGAAATGAAACTGCAGTGTATATTAAATGAAACTTAATAAAATATCACATATTTGAGTGTATATTGTGCAATGAACCTGTAATTATATCGAAATGATAATGTAGTTGTGTTTTAATGAAACTATAGGGTATATAAAATAAAACTAAATATCATTTTCACATATTTGAGTGTTATAATATCGAATGAAACTGTAGTTGTGTTGAAATGAAACTGCAGTATATACAAAATGAAACTGAATAACAGAGTTAATTTTTTGCAGAACGGTGCGAAAAGGGTGCCGTTTCTTTTCAATACACAAGACGACGTTGTTTAGAAACTCGGTGCATAATCCATTATGCACCGTGGTCCACGATATACTTGTTGGTCTATATAAACAATATAATATACAGCCTGTGAGAAAAACACACATCACTCTCTTCTTTCCCTAATTAAATATTCCATATTTTTGAATTATGGAGGTGATGAAGAAGATGATGAGCCATGAGAAAACCACCCTCTCATTATTTTATTTCTCATCAGCTGCTCTTTGTACTCTCCATCTTCTTGTGTTTTGCTTAATATGTAGTGTTACCCTTATTCCCACTTCCTCCTTTGCATCATCATCATCATCAGCTGCTTTCTACTCATCAAATGAAATCGATAGACTTGCTCTTTTAGAGTTTAAACACCGGATTATTTCTGATGATCCCAATGGATTAGTTCTTAACTCCTGGAATGACTCTGTGCATCATTGTGGTTGGCAAGGAGTGAGCTGTGGTCGTCGACACCCACCAATTGTAGCGTTGAGGTTTCTTGAGAAGGGGTTGGTGGGAACCATATCTCCTCATATTGGAAATCTCACTTTCCTCAGGCTTCTTCATCTCCAAAGGAATATGTTGCACGGTGAAATCCCAGGAGAGATTGGTGGTTTTTTTCGATTAAGATCTCTCTACCTGTCTAGGAATGCATTGACGGGAGAAGTGGCTAAGCTTAATCTCAGCAGCTGCGTACACCTTAGGGAACTATATTTTAATCGAAATGGCCTCCAGGGAACCTCCCTACTGCATTCGAATTCCTAGCTAATTTGAAGAAGATACAAGTACTATCTCTGGGTAGAAACTGATCGACAGGTGGAATTCCTCCCACTTTTGGGAATTTGTCATCACTTCGAAAATTGGGCTTGGAGATTAATCATTTGGAGGGACATATTCCGCATGAGATTACGCAGTGTAGGGGTTTAGGTTTAAATATCATTTCACTTGGCGTCAACAATTTCACTGGTACACTATCTCCTTCTTTCTTCAATATGACTTCTATACAAATTTTTTCAGTAACCCAAAACTCACTTGAAGTGACCATTCCAAGCTACATAGGAGATACCATGCCAAACTTGGAAGGCTTTTATTTTGGCATTAACCAATTCCATGGAACCATCCCAATTTCATTTCCCAACGCCTCTAAGCTTCAAATTCTTGAGGTTTCAGCTAACTATCTTGTAGGTAAAGTTCCAAATAATACTGGAAGGTTAAACATCTTCGAGTTTTGAACCTTGAGTACAATCTTCTTTGTAGCAATGATCCCCTCAATGACTTGGCTTTTATAACATATCTGTCCAATTGTAGTAATTTAAATAGATTTTCCATTTATAAAAATAGATTTGAAGGTAAATTGCCAAACACCATAACTAACCTCTCATCCAAACTCCAGTTCCTATTTCTAGGAGATAATAAGATTTGGTACCATACCAAGCGGAATAAAAAATCTAGTTAGCGTGATGGCTTTTGGGGCAGGAGTCAATCTATTATAAGGTGTTATTCCTAGTGAGATAGGTGAATTGCATAAATTACAAGTTTTGACTCTGGATCAAAACCAATTATCTGGAAAAATGCCACTCAGTCTTTTTAGGGTTACTTCTCTAACTACAATTGATTTGGATAACAACAATTTTTATGGCAATATACCCTCAAATGTGGAAAACTTCAGAAATTTAAATGAATGGTACATGTACAATAACAAACTAGATGAAACCATTCCTCAACAAGTTTTTAATTTGCCATCTTTGTCTAAGTACCTTGACCTTTCCAGCAATTCATTCACTGGCCCGTTATCTCCCGCCGTGGGCAAATTGAAAACACTAAATGTCTTAGACATCTCTGGAAACAAATTGTTGGGCAAAATTCAAGATACAATTGGAAATTGTTTGAGCCTTGAATATCTTGATATGCATGATAATCACTTTGAAGGTAAAGTCACACCTTCTTTGGTTTCCTTAAAAAGCATTACGTATTTGGATATCTCAAACAACAAGTTGACTGGAGAGATACCAAGAGACCTCCAAAAGCTCCCTCACTTGCAATATTTGAACCTTTCTTTCAATGATCTAGAAGGGGAGGTACCAACAGTTGGAGTGTTTGCAGTGGCAACCAATGTATCATTGCTTGGAAACAAAAAGCTATGCGGTGGTATACTTGAGCTAAAGCTGCCTCCATGTCCTGTGAAGAAAACAAAACACAGAAAGCATTTAAAGCTTAAGATTGTTATCTTCACATGTATTTGCTCGGCTCTGGTGTTTGCATCATTCATTGCTTTTCTAACAATGTGTTGGAGGAAACGAAAAGGATGGAGTCAGCTAAGGCATCCAAAGTTGAAAAGCTTTCCAAAATCCCTTATAGAGACCTACATCAAGCTACTGATGGTTTCTCTGAGACAAATTTGATCGGTTCGGGAAGTTTTGGCTCTGTTTACAAAGGATGATTTGAGCAAGGTGGTGGAGAAGAAACAATTGCGGTGAAGGTACTTGACCTTCGAAAAAATGGAGCTTCAAAGAGCTTTCTTACAGAATGTAAAGTGTTGAGGAACATACGCCACCAAAATCTTGTTCCAATTTTGACTTGCTGCTCGAGTTGTGATTTTGCAGGTAATGAATTCAAAGTTTTGGTTTATGAGTTCATGTTAAATGGGGATTTGGATATGCGGTTGCATACACATTCATCTAATGCAAGGACAACCGTTTTAAGTGTTCTTCAAAGGTTAAATATTGCAATTGATGTAGCTTCTGCATTACATTATCTCCATGATGATTGTGAGCCGACAGTTATTCATTGTGATCTAAAGCCAAGTAACATTCTGCTCGACAAAGACTTACTTGCTCATGTTGGAGATTTTGGTATTTCAAGACGTTATTCACGCACAATTGGAGATCCAATTGGTGAACAAACTAGTACCATTGGATTAAAAGGATCAATTGGTTATGTTCCACCAGGTAAGAATATTATATTGTCATCATAAAACTTTACCACTTGTTTACATAACTAGCTAGCTTAAGAGAAAAAGTCATATTCATATATCATATCTTATGTTGAAGAAGTTCTTTTCCTAAAATTAAAATGCACTATTAATTTATTTTGTTTTCATTTGCTTTGTTTTTGTTTTCTCAAATAATTTGGTTTTAGAGTACAGGTCAGGAGCAAAGGCATCAACTTTTGGAGATGTGTATAGTTTTGGAATCCTTTTGTTAGAAATGTTCACAGCTAAGAGACCCACCGATAAGTGAATGTAACAGTCTTTGTGAGTATGTGGAGATGGCGTTGCCACCAGAAGTGATTGAGATAGTAGACTCATCGCTTTCAGCATGCCTAGAAAGCAATCACGGAATAACACCGGATGTAGAGTTGGGGAATTATGGCAATTTGGTGAAATTGAAGAGAGCAAGGGGCATAACTTCTTCCTCTCCATCTTCAAAATTGGGCTCACTTGGCTTCAAGATCACCAATGGATCGCATGCATATGAATGAAGTGTGCACGGAATTACACAAGATTAAGAAGGCCTTCTTTGCATACAATTAAGCAAACATGTCTTGCTAGCTAGCAATTTAGAAAAGCTTGTTTTTTAATTTGCCTAACATATGTTGCTCTAAATTTCTTTTGATGTAAGCTTTTTCTTGTATTATTCTTTTGTTGTATGATGGGAACAAACTGCAAACATTTACTATACATGTTCTTATATTATGTGTTGTAATTTGGTTTAAAGTTTGTATAAACAGTTATCATTTTAATTGTTTCTAAAACTGGTTAACTACTGTCAGTCCATGAAGTGAGCACGGACAAATTTCTCTCATTATTTCGTTTCATTTTATACACACTATAATTTCATTACAATAATGACATATTGAAATCATACATGATAACTTGCTAAGATATATGGTTAGAAGCGCACCATCAGTTGTTGTGCTCTGCGGTTACTGCAGTTGGACAATGTCATTAATGGAGGGATATGATAGCTCCTAACCGGAGAACCATATTGCAGTACCCATTACTGTTCACACATAAATTCAGGAGAGCAACGCAACAGCTGCATCCTCCTTAGCTCTTCAAGATCCCAACTCCAGAATCTCAACCAGAAAAGGGATCCCTCCTTCCTACCTCAAAAGTTTCTCTTCTTCCATAAACCATCCCAAAAGCAGAAATGATTCCTCTTCCTGAAATGCACCAGAAGAGATTGACCCATTCCAGATGATAATGCAGGGGTGATTAAGATTTGATTTTGGCCTAGCTGGGAGTCTTCATCAGCAGATCGATGATACATTATTCACCAATGGAAGCATAGAAAAATGTCTATCTGAGTTTTTCAATCCATCTTCGGAACTCTTAAGAGACATCCTCTCGGTATCAAGCCCCAACTCATTACCAATGATTCTGGGCAAAGATTCCTCTGATGACAGACTGGGTGGAGATGGAGTTTGAACTTGATGAGGGGAACCTAAAAGAGGCTGATGAGTGTGAAGAAACCTCAATTCTATGACCAGCAGTTGCATGCAAACAATTTAAATTTGAATTTTCGTTGGATGCAGAAGTAGTATGATGATGGTGTAAATGGGAGTCTTCATCATGTGACGCCATAGTATGGTTAGAAAATTGACTAGCTAACTTCTTACTTATATCTCTTGACTCTTGAGAGTGCCAAACGGTCTAAGTCTGAAGAGATATCCTCCCAAGATCCACACCCTGCCCATCACCTGAAATTCCAAGCAGAAGAGCTTGTGAAGAACAATGATGAATCCTGTATTTGAATTGTACAATATGAGACGAAACTTCTCCAAGGGGAACCTAAAGGGGGAGTTGAACCAGTTCATTAAGACGTAGTTTGATTATGGTCGAAAACCAGTTAACAACACAATCCAAAATAAGAGCAGATATCATATGTAGTGATAGATAGTTAGCATCAAACCTTTTCTATTGCGATACTCTCTTAAGTGGTTAAGAAGTCTGTGTGCCTGCAAGTAGACAAAAACAAGTTATCAAAATAAGAACATATCAAAACCATAAATGATAGATGGTTAGCATCAGACCAATTGTCGTGCTCTGGGGTTACTGCAGTAGGACAATGCTGTTAATGGACAGACAGCTCCAAGCCGGAGAACCATATTGCAGCACAGCATGTTGTCAGTGCATAATCGCAGGAGCGCAACAGCTGCATCCTCTTTAGCTCTTGAAGATCCCAACTCAAGAATCTCAACCAGAATAGGGATCCCTCCTTCTCGACAAATTTCTGATCTTCCCTCAAAAATGGAAGAAAGATTAGACAAAATACAAACTGCTTCATCAACCATCCCAACATTAGGGTGCATAAACTCTATGAGGTACTTCACTGCACCTGCCTGCACAATACGATACTTGTGTTCATCAAGTATAGATAAGTAATACAAAGCTGTAGCGGCATCTTTCTTGCCCCTGGGAGTTCCATTGGCCAGTAATTCAACAACAGCTTTTATTGCCCTACAAATCTTAACCTTAAATCCCTCAATATCTGATAAGTTGAAAAGAGTGGCAACAGAGGTTTCTTGAGCCTCTGGGCTCCCAGTTGAAAGGACATGAATCAGTGGTTCAATTGCATCAGCATCAACTATCATACACTTGTTGTTATCATTAGCTGACAAGTGCAGAAGTGCTATAACAGCACTTTCCTGTAATTTTGTGTCTACAGAATGCAGAAGGCTAATCAACAAGCTGATGGCACCATGGTTTGCAATCAAAATCTGGTTGTCCATATTCAAATTGGCAAGCAATTGGAGTTCAGCTGCTGCATTTCTGAGCACATCAGTAGAAGTGACCTGCAAGTCCTCAACAAGCTTCTTAACATGATTCTCGACTTCCACACGATATGCCCTTGCTTCAGTGGCAGAGGAAGAAACCATTCTTGGAACAAGGCTTTCACATGCTCTTCGGAAAATTGAGTGAAGATGAGATTGTAGCCCCACTGGGGATAGGAAATAATAAACCTGATTTCCATCACCAATAGCTGCACGTAAAATGCTTGAATTCCCTGAGCTTATACTTCCCTTTCCTGAGCCTGTCAGCCACTCTGCATAACTCTTACGAGAATTCGTCTCCATGTCAGAACTCAGCATATAACGTGGAATACCGTACAAAGATTCATCAGAAGAGAAACGGGGACGAGATGGAGATGATTCTCTTTGGATTGCACTAGAATGGAATGAACTTTGCCTAAGGCCAATCGAGATTGTTGAAAGAGGTGATACAGAGATATAGCCCTGAGTATGAACTGAGCTCATACTTTTGTACCTATCTTGAGAACTCTCAGGAGACATCATCTCATCATCAAACCACAGCTCATTACCAGCTATTATGGGCAAAAATTCCCCAGAACACAAACGGGGACAAGACAGAGATGATCCCTCTCCTTGATATGCACTAGAAGAGATTGAATTATTCCTAGAAACACATAGAGTGCAAGATAAATCAGGTGATACAGAGGTGGTTTGATTATGGCCTTGCTGGGAGTCTCCATCAGCAGATGACACCGAGTTTGGCAATCCATCTTCAGAACTCTTAAGTGAAATCCTCTCAATATCAAACCTCAACTCATTACCAGCATTTCTGGGCAAAGACTCCTCTGATAACAAACTGCTTTGAGATGGAGAAAATGTGCCTCTTTGAATTGAGCTTGAAGGGCTTGAATTTTTCATAGGGGAACCTAAACAGTAATTTAAATCAGGTGTTCAAGATTCCGCATTCACAATAACAGAAGAGGGTTGGTTCAGCACTTCAGCTCAGAGATTTCATGGGCTATGGCATCTTTATGTTCTTTGATTCACACAATTTGCAATCACTGCCTTTAAAGAGTTTAACTTAGGAATAAATTAATATTGCAAATATTTGAAAATTTCTTGTTTTCTGATTTCTGTTTTCTTTATTTGTACTTCAAATTTTATATTTTGTTTTTAAGAAAGCAGCAACTTGTAATTTAGTGCATCATTAAGAAGAAAGTATTTAATGTTCTATTTAAAAGTATTGTTATAATTGAATATAGTCATCATTTATATATCTTTTTATTATAATAGTAATAACCATGTTGAGAAAAATTTATAAAAGGAAAAGCAGTGACTTATATTTAGTACATGATATATGATGCACAAGATCTAAGATAAGAGGTTTGAATAGAAACTAATAAAGCAAGAAAAATAATGACATAATCTAAACAATCATCATTTTGCTCCTTCACTTATGCTTTGGATTTTTGTTGTTGGAAGTTATTGTTCAAATGTATAGGCACAAATATAAGAGGTCTCTTCTCAGGTATTTGGGGAGGTTATGCAATTGCAAATATGTATGATTCACATTCTTCAATTGCAAATAGCCACGAGTTTTACATACCGATTGAGAGGTGATTTTCTCCTCGACTCCGGAAAAATGACCGATGATGCAATAACTTCTTCACCGCAAAGAATAGGCCGCCGCGGCCACCGTTACCGTTGCCGCTATCATCGCCACTAGACATGTTGTGCTTGAGCTTCGAATCCGAAGAAAACCTACCAACAGATTTTGAAGTAGAAGCCACGAAGAATTGTTCCCAATATATAAACTGGAAAGCGTCCCCTCCATTAACTGTTTTCTGGTAAATTTCTTCATACTTTCCGGAGCTTCGTAGTATGAACTCAGTGAATGTGAACTCGTATTTGGAATTTATGAATTATAAGCTTTTCGACGAAGGCGCCCAAAAGACCAAAACTGTGACATTATATTGCCCCAATATAGATGACTTCAGTGAATGTCGCGTTTCTCTGATTTTAATTTACGAGCAGTTCGCAGTGAATATTTAAAAATATGTTTTAAGGGCATCTTCAATAGTTAGAGTTTTAGTGTAATTTTTAATGAATTTTTGTAATGTGATTATGAAAGAAAAAATGGAAAAATGAAGTAAAAAAAAAAACTAAATGTCAGCTAAATTCAATGTGAGACCCGCACTTGCTGCTTTCCTACGCACATGTGCAGCCATGCACAGCCATTGTAGGAGAAAGAAATCTCCAAAACTCACCATTTTCATTTGTCAAAACTTTAGCAAAGAAAATCTTACTATTTCAAAAGCCATAAATGAATCCCCTATTGGGGGTGTTCTAAGTATGTTTTGCGACTTAATCAGTAAAAAATTATGATGTTTGTATAAGTAGTTTAATTAATTTTTAGGTAGTAGATTATAAGTAAGAGATGACAACTGCACTGCAGGAGTTATATTTAATGACAATTTTTTTTGTAGACCATAAATAAATGTACGTTTTTAATATACTAAAGATATACTCTGTATTATTTATGTGCTGGATATATATTATTTGTCTTTTTAAAAAAAAAAAAACATATTATTCGATAATATACAAAATAATTTACTTTCAGATTTCAGTATTCAAATAATATACTTTCAATTGTTATATTATGGACCATGGTTCATCTAGCATTGTGAATTTTATTTAAAAAATGCTGAAGTGGCATCCCACACCATGAACCATAAGCGATTCTTCATGGCGTACCTTAATCTTTCATATATGCTATTTCGATCCACAAACCGTTAAAATTTTGTCACCTAGACTTTTTAGCAGGTTACCTTCAAGTAATAAGTTATAACTTGCTGATGTGGAGGTGTTTAGTTGTTGACTTATTTAAATATATAAGTAATAAAAGTATGATTTGGCAGCCCTTTCATCATTTAACTTAAATAATCAAACCCCCCATTGCTGACGCTCGTGGCAGAGAAACAAGCCCCACGTCCGGCGCCGGCTGAGTAGCCCTTTGAATGTCGTATCTCTTCCGCACCTTCTTTGTGGTCAGCTCCGACGACGACGACCCGCCGTTGTTTCCTCCGTTGCTGCCGCTCGACTCCACTTGCCGCTCGTCTTCTCCGGCAGTTTGTGTTGTTTTTTTTATCAAGATTTTCTGTGCTTCTGGGTAGAATTTCTGACTGTCTGATATCAAATGCGACAGAGACGCTGTATTTGTAAGAAGTACTACATAAGCAGAATATTCGATTTGAAATACAATCATCTTTATAAGCTTTTCAATTTTTTTTTTTTGAATGCTACTAGCTCTATTAGATTGTAGTATCTGTTCATATACTTTCTCAACCTACTGAAACACAAAGAGCTAATAACGCCTCCACTGAGGCTTGAACTTACAACCTTCCAAATGGAAGTCCAACCCGGGTACCATTGGACCACATAGTCCTGGTTTATAAGCTTTTCAATTACTTAATGTAATAGTCAACAAAATAATAAAGAAATTGAATTCATTCTAACCTGCAAAACGACATTAACACTTATGATGGTAGTTCAATTCAACAGAACAAAATCCAGATTTCATTTCAGGAAACTTACTCTTGAGGTGTTGAAAAAGATGCTGGTTGATGAACCTAGAAGTCTCACGACCTCCGTGCCCACAATCTTGAGTGCTCAAACAGCCGGATTCAAGCTGGCTCTGATCTTCAAGCAGATTATTTGCTTGAACTACAGCGATTGAAATGTTGGCATGTATCCTTATACCACAAGAGCCCGTCTTGACAACCAGCAGCATCAGAACTGGAGCCGACCTATCGATCTGCCTTTGGCCCGAAGCAGGCCCTCAAGAAGTTCATCAACCCAGATAACATCCCTCATCTCACCCAAACCACCCTCCAAAATCGTCCCATCTAAAGATGCAGCGTTTTCATTATTATCAGTTTGGTTTTCTATCGTGCTTAATGTTGGAAATTACATTCAAGATGGTGGTTTAAAGTGTGTAGAAGGAAGACACTCTTGTCCCACATTGGAAGGATAAGGGACTAATTCCCACCTTTTTAATACCAACCCATTTGGAAGGCTTAAACTATTGTAGAGAGAGAAGGAAAGGGAACTCCACATGCGCGCGTCGCCGCCGGTGGGTATTTTCAATATACTATAAACTATAAATACCCTGCTTCTCCTGACCTTCGGTGTTAACTGGTCGAAAGCAACCGGTAAGACTACAACCGTCTCTGGGAAATTTTTGCTTTTAAGGTAGTGTCTTGCACACGTCACCAATCCCTTCAGGATTCATCCATTCTCAGCCTATAAAAAACAGTAGCCCCAGGTCAGCAACCGGTAAGACTACAACCGTCTCCGGGAAATTTTTGCTTTTAAGGTAGTGTCTTGCACACGTCACCAATCCCTTCAGGATTCATCCATTCTCAGCCTATAAAAAACAGTAGCCCCAGGTCCACGACATATTCTATCCGAATTTTCCCCAACAGTTAAAAGCAAAAAATCTTTAATTTTATTTTCGGATATCATGTCGAGCTTCGTACCTAAGCCTGCATCTGACCTTGCCAAGCTTCAACCTCTTGACGGCCTAAACTATCGTCGTTGGGCAGTCAAGATGCTCATACACATCGAATCTGCTGAACTGGAATACGTTCTCACGTATGTTCCTGAACCTGCTCAAGCGAAAGCTGCTGACTCCACTAATCCTCAAACAGAGGACGGCTCCACTTCAACCCCTGCGCCTGTAACACCTGAACCTGTCACAACTGACAAGTCTCAAGACATCCGGGCAAAGTTCGAGCGGGACAACAAAACGGTTCGCGGTCTTCTGCTGCATCACATGTCTGACAACCTGTTAGACATCTATGCTAATACAAATCTGCAAAGGAGATCTTGGACTTGCTCAAAAAGAAGTATGGCACTGATGATGCTGGTCGGAGGAAGTACACGGTTGGGAGGTGGCTCAACTATCGTATGGTGGATACGAAACCAGTGATCGAGCAAGTGCACGAATATGAGAATCTGGTGTCCGACCTTGAAGCTGAACTCATTTCGGCAAGTGAAATGCTACAAACCTATGCCTTACTTGAGAAGTTGCCAGAATCTTGGGGAGAGTTTCAAAACAAAGTAAAACATGAGTCCAAGGATTACTCCTGGGAAGAGATGGTCAATCACATCAACATAGAAAACGCCTATCGACAAAGGTCTGTTTCTAATTCTGGTACGTTAAAAGCTAACATGGTTGAATCCAGTGATGTTAAAGGTGATAGGTCCAGAACTGGGAGTGGTGGACACAATAAAGGCTGGAAAAGAGGAGTCAAAGCCAACAATAACAACAAGTTCAAAAACAACCAGAAGAAAGGGAAAGGAGGACCTTGTTACGTCTGTGGGAAGAACGGTCATCGCGCGGCGCAGTGCTATCGCCGATGGGGCGCAAACGACCAAAAGAATGTCCAACAAGAGAACAAGCATCAAGCAAACGTGGTGGATGAGACTGAAGTCATAGCAGCGGTTGTGACGCTGGAAGCAAATGTGGTGACTGGCACGGAAGAATGGATCATAGACACTGGAGCAACTCGGCACTTCTGTGCCAGTAGGATCATGTTCAAGGAGTTTTGTGCCTTCACTCAAGGACAAGGAGATCAAGTCTATATGGGAAACGACAGTACTGCTAAGGTAAGAGGAGTAGGAACAGTAGAGATAAAACTCAATTCCACAAAGTATCTATTTCTGTCTAATGTGTTGTATGTCCCCACTATGCGGAGGAACTTGGTCTCAGGGCCCTTGTTGGTTAGGGCCGGGATCAAACTTGTGTTTGAATCCGAGAGAATGATCATGACCCGTAGAGGGGAGTACCTAGGGAAGGCTTATTTACGTGGGGGGCTGTTTGTTTTGCCCCTCATTGCATTCACTTCTGCAAACTATGAAACTTTCATGAATAATCTTGCCACACGTAATGGCGGTTCTGTGTATATTGCTGTTTCTTTTGATGTATGGCATGCTAGATTAGGACACGTTGGTCTCAAATGCATGAGTAGATTAAAAACTATGAATATGCTCTCAAACGTGCAAGATGATTCGCTTTCTCAATGTGAAGTATGTGCTGAAGCTAAACTAGCTAAAAAACCTTTCATTACTGCAAAGCATCATATAACTTGTGCTCTAGAGTTAATACACTCAGACATAGCTGATTTTAAAAATACTGAGACAAAAGGGGGAAAGCGATATTATATATCCTTTATAGATGATTTCACTCGTTTTTCAAAGATATATCTGCTTAGAACTAAAGATGAGGCAGAACAAAAATTTGTAAGCTTTAAAACTGAAGTAGAAAATTAGTTAGAGAAAAAGATAAAAAGACTTAGGTCTGACAGAGGTGGAGAGTATGAGTCTATATCCCTCAAAACCTTTTGTGAAAAACATGGAATCATCCATGAGGTGACAGCACCCTATACACCACAACAAAATGGTGTGGCTGAAAGGAAAAATAGAACCCTAAAGGAAATGATAAATGCTTTTCTAATAAGCGCAGGCGCTCCTAACTCTATGTGGGGGGAAGCTGCATTAACAGCTAACCACGTCCTCAACAGGATACCTCACAAAGGTTATGAAAAAACTCCATATGAGCTATGGAAAGGTTACGCACCAAATCTAAAATACTTCAAAGTGTGGGGGTGCCTGGCCAAGGTAGGTCTTCCTTACTTCAAGAAACCTAATCTTGGCCCTAAAACCTCAGATGCAATATTTGTGGGGTATGCAGAAAATAGCGCTGCATATAGATTTATGTACCTAGACGGCCACTCTATGTGCGAGGCACGAGAGGCCGAGTTCTTCGAACACATATTCCCACTAAAACGTAGATCAAATACCTATGAAAAAGTCTCGTCCTCACTACCTTC